GAAGACTAGAGACAGAATAAAAATAGTATACAGAGTTTTTCCCGTATACACTGCTTTTTTCTTTGCTTTGCTTTGCTTCAAAATTAAGTACAGAAGTAGGCATTTTTTTCATATATTCGGTTCATTTTATATATATATATATATATATATATATATAAAATATTAAGCGGGGATACTCAAAACCATGGTTGGCGACGGAAACCTGTAGAACACTTTTAACTGGAAGAGATATTCCCCACCGGGATCTTCCCCCTTCAGACATGGAGCTTGTGAAAGGCTGTAGGAAGAGAACGCAGCAGTCCCTTGTTGGTGAAAGCTCTTCTCTTCACTGGTTTGTCTCTTTTGTTTTGTTTTTTTCTCCCATAGGAAGATGTGATTAATACCCAGTGTGGCTATGATGCCAGGCAGAAACCAGTAAGTGGTTTTTTTCCTTACCTGATTTCTTAAGGTTCTGAATAACTTTGGGTGAGCAGATTAGAGTTGGAGGAGAAAGGGGAGTGTTAATTAACTGTTTTTATTTCTCTCTTCCCCTCGGCAGGAAGTTGATCAGCAGATTGTTATATACACTAAAGGTTGTGTCCCCCAGTTTGAGAAATGGCTTCAGGACAATCTTACTATAGTCGCTGGCATATTCATTGGGATTGCATTGTTGCAGGTACAGCACGTGTTCCCTATTTTAAAAACAAATTACAGAGAAAACAAAAAATACAATGGGGAAATAATCAGAGAACTGGAAATGAGGATGTTTCACTTTAATAATCTGTAGTTTGTAGTTTTTAACCTGGGCTGAAGGAAAACTTAACGACTGAGGATTTGTCCGTAGAAAAAATAAAATATTCTTTTCTATGTGGACAGTTATTCATTCAAGCACCCCCAACTCAGCAAACATGCAAGTTGGGGCTGGTTTTCAAAGAATACAGGACGCTGTTAGTTCTGACGGTTTGAAGATTAGCTGCCAAAAGAATAGCCTTTTAAATTCCTCTTGGGAAGAAATCTTCATGGTATCTCTGCTCTCAGGTTAAAGACCTGCTATATTCTTTTTTTGGACTCTAATTAATTAAAAAAAAAAAAAAAAGGTTGAATGGAATTTTCTTTTTCCCTTGCCCCTAAGCTCCCTCTGTTGATTCTGATGATACTTTTTACAATTACAATTCTCAGTTTTCTTGTCCTTGTTGCTGTGTCAGTCTTATGTAATCCCAGAAACCTGGCTATATGCAAAGGACTGTCAAATGCTCAAATTAACCAACCTTGTCTTTTCCAGATATTTGGGATCTGCTTAGCCCAGAACTTGGTTAGTGACATTGAGGCTGTCAGAGCCAGCTGGTAAAACTGCTGAAATAACCATCACAAGACACTGGACAACTGAAACCCTCTGAAACCTCCACAGTGTCGCTCTGACACCGCGCTGCATGGTGATGGGGAAGCCTTCTTTCCCAAGAAGTTTCACATCTTAAGTTGCTGATATTGCAGTGAACTCTTGTTTCTGCGGGGGTAGGGATAGGGGTGGGCTATTCAAAATCTGCTGCTCACTGACAGATTTATTTTTAAATTACCAGTTTAAAAGCTGTTGAACCGTGAATCTCTACTGTATTCTTGACTTTGAGTAATAAGCGGACACACTTTTTTTTTTTAATTGGTGTGCATCAACAGGACAGAGGTTGCATTGTAATTTGTGGATATGCTGTTCATGCTCCATGTCATAAGTGTTTTGATAGCTGCCAAAAGTTCCTGAGATGGTATCTCTCTCCGACACTCTCTAAAGGACCAATCTTCTTGTTTTCCACAGCTAAACGTTGCTGCAGGCCTTTCTGAAACTAAACCCATGAAACAGGAACCAACTTTTCACTCCTCTGTTGTACAGTGAAAGAAATTTGTTTTTAAGACCAAGAAATTGTTTATACAGGAACTTCTACACTTTCCCTCTATATCTTTTTTTGTGGGTGGAATCGGCAAGATTGTGGTGATAACTGTTTAACGGTGTCACTATCCTTCTCCCTTTCTCTACCCTTGCTATGAAGGGAAAGGAGTTTTAAATCTCTGACAAACCAGGTAGTTGTATGTTTGGTACTGTCATCCATACTTTACCAGGGCAACACCCTTTCTAAGCAAGAATGTGTTATAAATATTTATAGGGTGGTAAGGATGGTTTTGGGGAAGGGGAGGGGGGAGGCAGTCAGGTGAGTGATGTTAAGTAGAGAATGAAATAATACGTTAACTTAAAGAAAATGAAGAATTATGTACCCAAATACAATCTGTTGGTTTCTTTGGAATTCGGTGTAACCTGTTGTATTTGGCTCTCACTAATAGTCGTGTGTTGTTATAGTTGTACAAAACTTTTTTTAAAGAGATTTTCTTGATCTTTTCCTAGATGAGGCTTTGCTTCCTCCCCCTGCCTTTTTTTTAAAAACAAAAAGCTTCTTTTTACCTGCATGAGCTCTGGTGCTAGAATCCGTGATACCCTGTTTTTAAATCCTTGCATATGATTCAGTAGGTTTCTAATAAAGAAATGTGCTTATTTATTGGTAGATACACATGACTGTGTAAAGTTCATATCCCCTTGTCTTGGAATATAGAGAGAACAGCTTTGCCCAAGTAAATGCTTCCCCCAGTTTAGTAAATCTTTGCTAAGTTTATCTGCATGTCTCCCTTTTACATATCTCTCTAGCCGAATGCAACGAAATGCTTTCTTGAAACAATAGGGTAAAGGATATTTTTGAACAAGAAGAGTGTGTTAGGATCAGAGGAGCTGCCTATGGGCTCTTTTTAATAGATTAAACATTAGCATTTGCAGTGAAGCACAAATATGAGGAAAAGACATGGATCGGACTCCAGCTGGGAGCCTGTGATTGGCTTTTATTTAAAATATAATGTAAACACAATTGATGGTAACTTGTGGAGCCAGTTAATTTTGTAAAGTTCAGCTTGTCTGAATGACTTTTTTGGTGTCAGTGGACCCGGCCCTATGCCGTGATGACTCCCTTGAAGTCCTACTTCCTTGAAATAATTGATGGTGCTTTTGCACAATATTTTCTCATCTTGCTGGTCCTCAGTGTTCACTAAGATGAATTCTGTGGATTAGAAAAAACTAATGCATTGTATTCAAAATACTGTACTTCCACCACTGCTGAGATGCAGCATATGTCAGTAAGCATGCCTGTGTGTGCACGCACATAAACACACACAATTAACCTTGCTGTGTGTAGACAACCCACATTTTTGTCGTGGAGGCTGGTGGTATGCACCATCATTCAGGCTTGAAGAGCCAAACAATCCAGTTGCACTCTTGTCTGTCTTTGTGTTACCTCATCTTCCAGTTAATTCCACCTGACCAGTTGACTCGGTATTGGGCAATACTCACATCCTTTGATGTCTGCTGTTAAAGACCAATGGCAACTTTAAAAAAAACAAACAAACCTAACAAACAAACTCTGAAAGTGTCTATACTCACTGTCCTTAATAAAGTTGGTTCAACCTCACTGCAGCGTTATGTTTTCATTAGCTACTCATAGCGTGGGGAGCTGCCCATTTGCCTTTAAGGAGCACGTGGCTTTGCATAATGGCAGCTGAACAGAGGGTTCGCTGAGGCTTCTGATGCTACTGTCTTTTGTAGGATGGCATGGTGCAGCAAGATCAAGGGAAACAGGAGGGTTCAGAAACCCTCCCCTCCCCCACTCCCGAGAGCATTGATTATAAGCCAGTACTTTTACATTTAAAAAGTCCCTCTTGCAGAAACATACCTTGTTGCCACTGATCTTTAATGCTTCGGCTGTTGCCGTAGGCTTCTGAAGACAACTTCCATTCTTCTACTTGAATTTTCACAATTGTACTATAACTGACTTTTGTTCTGTTGCTTCTCATAATTTCATTCTTTTGCTAAGTCACGCTTCTGAGAAATGACCGGTGGTACTGTCATGTTGATGGGAAGGGAAGCATTTAGGAATGGGGAAGTTTTGTTCTTGTTACTTGCACACACATACTGACATGTGCAGACCAAATGTACAAAGTTTACTGTAGCTCCTGGAATTACTGTACTCCTTTTAAGAACCATTAAATAATAACCTTTATTTTTCCATAACCCTTTTACGCTTCTGCAGAGGCTGATCCCAGTTTTTAAGATGTGTTCTGTTTTTTCTTCCCCAATTAGTGAAGCATGTTGAATGTTCAGCACTAGCTGCCTGTGTTGCATGTTCACACCCCACACTTGCTTCTAAAATGGGTGATTATGTTTCTAAGAGCCTCTGTCTGCATGTCCTTTTATGAGGCTAGTTTGGAAAACTTATGGGAGGCCTTGAAAACTGATGCAGTTTATATTGAACCTACCACCTGCAAACTAACTTTCTGCCATAAAGTTCTACGAAAAGCGCAAATCAGCTGCAAGTAGAGCATGAGCTCTGGCCTCTTTCCCAGTGGGATTTGGTTAAATTTGGTAGTGCATTCCTGGGCAAATTCTAGTACGTCTAAGATGGTGGTATTAGCTGTGACCATAAAGGTTGGTTTAACTAGCCACAAGGTGCGATAGCTGCTCAGAAAAATGTCCCCATTTAGATTTCTTACAGCCACTTACAGAGCATAACATCTGTGTTTGCACATAGGTGTAGTGTTGCAATCAGCTGGGGTGAAGCTTTCACCTGTGTCCAGAGTTGGGAAGCCATTTCAGCAGGCCACGGTCTGTCTTCCGTGCCCCTGCTGGTCTCGCCTCTAAACCAGTGATTCTCAACCAGGTTGCCCCGGCACCCTGGGGTGACTGGAGATCCTTTCAGAGGTATTGTGGGGTGCCACACAGTGTTAGCACTGTTAGGGATGCAAACACAATTCAGATGATAAAACCAGTGATTTCAAATGGGAATCCATAGTGCCTGCGGTGGTCTTTCTTAGTTCTGTGCAACAGAAGAATTTCTCTATTATTTTTCTGTAGTTAAACAAACCTAGTGAAAATGAAGAGCTGGCATTTTCCATGGGGTGCTTTCAGCATACACAAGGTTGAGAACCACTGCTCTAAACCCTCCACCCAGATTTAGAGACCCCTTGGTTATTAGAAAGTCCACCCCTCCACCTCTCTCTCTCATCAGTGTTCAGTTGCCTAAACTTCTGTGTTCCAATCCACGGTCCAGTCGCAAAAGAGAGCCCATTTCTGTCTGGCTTTGAGACCTGTTACGTGTATGTACTCTGTCTGTTCGGTCACCATCTTTTTCTTTTCAGAGAGACGTTAATTGTAGCGAATCAGGAGATAGAGCCTGGCTTAGCTTCTGAAGTGTAAATACTATTTGTAATGTAAATAGCAGCATGTGAATGAAATGACTCTTGCACCCAACTGCTACTACTCATACCTGTGTGTTGATACTGATACGAAAGCTGTACAGTGAGCCAGGAATGCTTGAATTGCCTGCCATCTAGTGTCTAGTATAGGGAACTACAGCTGTCAGACGTTTTAAGAAGGAAAAATAGCGGCTTAAAATTCTGATTTTGACTTCTGGAATCTCCCCCTGCTGCTTGCTCAGTTGTCTCCTTAAGATCTGAAGAGGCAGGTCCTATAAGGGCTAAGGGTACTGTCCGACTTCACAGGGAGCTGCCGTCTCCTTATACCAGGACTGTAACTTGTGTTCTAGGGCTTAACTTAAAATGGTCCTGGAAATGAACCTACATCTTTGCTTCCTCGGAAGGGTCCTAGGTCAGCCCAGTGCTAGTTACTAGTGACAGTTAAGAAAACTTTGTATGCGAGTATCGGGGTCCATTCTTTGCAAGGGTATTGAAAGGAGACTAGAACTTGGGGTTTAAAGCACTATGTAGGTTCCAGCACCCAAACCTCCCCTGCTCTTCCTCCCAAATTATTTCATACTGTTAAAACTGAATTTCATTAACCCAGTATGCTGAAGTTGCCTAGAACAAAGAAATCTTTTCTTGTATTGTTTCTTTAGGAAGAGCCATTAGCTACCAACCGTAGCTTAGAGAAATTAGTTCACATCTCAATTAAGAATATGCAGTGTAAAATAGTCATTGTGACTGCTAGTACACGCCATGCTGGTGATCAGTGATAGACAACTATTAGTTGTCTTTGTGTTTTTGCTGTTTGAATGCATTAACAATAGGCTACATCTCTGTGCATATATATGAGTGTGTGCGTCTTCATATACATCCTGTATGTGTGGTAGAGGGGAGCTCTTATCTCAAGCTTTGAGAAAGTTGGGATATGGATTTGAATTTTGACTTAGTCCCATGTCAAGTAAGTACATTCCAGTCCAGCTCAAAGTGAACTGCTCTCCTTGAGTCACCCTAAAGCACGATGAAGGGTATTTACCTTTGTGTAGCATTTCTTTTTATACGAATGTATTCTCTTGTGTTTTTTTAAAGGAAAAAAAAGAAAACTGTAAATTGCAAAACTGATTGTAAAAGCCAATTACACTTAACCTATTGAAAGTATTGCTATAACAGAAGTGCATGCCAGTAGAGTTTGACTTGAGATTTGTTGTCTGATTTCCAAATGGTCATCTTCAGTCTGAAGGAAATACATTGGCCAGGTGCATACGTATTGCTTATATTTCTCATCTTTAGTATTGACATGTGGTATTGTATCACATACTGATCTCAATGGATGTAACTGGAGCGTAATTGGAAAGCTGCCACAACTTGTTGGTTGTTCATTTGAAGCTATTGAAAGTGGTCTTGATCATGCTATTTGTGTTTTTGGGTTTTTTGTTTTATAATAGAGGCCTTTTTTAGGAATGTTTTAATACATTTATGATGAACAATACAATAGTTTTAATAGTTGTGCAGTATTCTGTATTTACTTGAAGTAAATCATTTTATATGCAATTTGTTAGATGATTACAGTTTTATAAATAAAATTGTGTGAAATATTGCCTTGCCTTGTGAATGTTTACTCTTGCTGTATGTAATACTTTACTCTGAAGGTACAGATATACTTTTAGGAAAATAAGACTTAAACCTGTCTTTTTACCATTTGAAAATTGCATTTTCATTCTACCGTTTGATGCTATTAAAATGAGAAATTATTCTTAATAAGGAACTCTCTCACTTACTATTATGTGATATATTCTAAATAACTGAGGTTAGGTAATTTGCCCGTTTTATTTATTTCCAACCATGGTTTTTGTAACTCTTTAGATGCCAGTGATCATGTATTACTAGCACAGCTGTTCAAATTCAGATTAACCATTTTCCTGACCATGTAATGTTCAAAAATCACCCATTTTATTTGTGCAGATGGGATTAGTAGGGAGGAAATCCGCAAGAATCCAATTTTAGTTTTCGTAGAGGGCAGGCAGTCCAGGGCAACAAATCTTTATCTGCTTCACTGACAACAGTGCCAAATGGGTTCTTGAGCTAAAATGAAAACGAATTCAGCTTATGTCTCTGCTAAATTCTTGATCATTTCATTGACGTAAATTTTTCAGAAATTTTTCATATGAAAGCTTCTGAATTGCAGTCCAGTGTGATATCCTGAACAGACATCATCTACTCAATCTGCTTTCATTTCACACTTGATACCACCCATAAATAATCTCAGTGATTTTGAAAAGGAGGCGTTGTCAAGACAAATGGTAGGATTTTAAAAAGTGTCTAAGGGAATTGAATGTCCCAACATCTTGGAAATCCTCACTAGCAGATCAAATGGACTGATATCTATCAAAGTGAAGAAAAATGTTTGTGTTCTTCTGGACAGCCTTTCTCTGGTTCTGTCAGTATGGCAGACACAGTTAGTTAGCAAGAACCAGGGAGGAGGTGGGGAGAGGTTTTTTTGTTTTTTTTTTCAAGAGGTTGAATAAGAAATCCCATTTTTGGAGCTTTGTGAAAAGGCCCCAGCTGGTGCTCCTCTCTGCCTATCGTAAAATCTACCTGAACAGAGTCTTATGCCAGACTAGTGTCCACCATGCAGCAGCAGCCTTTGGCTTTATATGGCCAGTAGGTTACACATGGCAAGCCAGCAAAGAATGTTTTGTCTCGAGTGTCTAGTCCCAGTACTCTGGGTGTGCTTGTCCTGGACCTGTGTTAGATTGTTTCCCCAGTGCAGGCGTAGGGAATGTCTGCAAATCCAGGATGGAGAAGAGATGTCTCCAGAATGATATTCCTTAACTCCTAACTCCTGGATATCCAGCAAATCTACCATGTTCTTTGGCTGATGCTGTTTTCAGTTTTTTCCATTACAGGTTTATAAAAACTAAACTATTTTTATTTGAAAGCTGGACCACACCCATGGCCATTTATGGCCAGCGCTGCTGCTTTCGGTTAAGACTCCAAGGGGCTACATTTAACCCAGCCTCTCCGTCTGTGCCTGCAGCTTTGCCCAGTAATCACGTGCATCTGCGAGAGTAAAAAAACCAAAAAACCTCTCTCAAATGAAGCCAGATCCATGTGCAAACTAGACAGATATCCCAAGTGTCACTCCCCCAAATCCACTTGTGCAGGTTGTCACACTTGGAAATGGTTGTTTGCATAGTAAATACAAATAGACCTGTTA